AAAAAAACCCACATCTTGTATTTTTGTTCTAAATATAAATGGCCCTTAAAATGTATTATATCCTGATTTTGTAAATGGAGGCTTAGATTACACTTTAAAATATATAAGAGCAATCAGAGACTTACATTTGGTTTATTCTAGATATTTTTGTTCTTATTGAAGATTCCCTCATATGTCTGTCCAGAGCCTGGGGTCCACTTCCCTTCTGGGCATCCAGGCACTGGATGTATGCAGGTACTGGATTTGAAGGAATGATGCTTAGCTATTTGGGTGGGGTCTGCAGGATCCTAGTCCAGAGGTAAAGGCCCAGAGGGGGAAAGCTTTCTCTGATACAGTTATGTTACAGCCCTTCAAATGACACAGCTCTCCTACTGATACAGCTTTTTTTTGTTGTTGTTTTTTGTTTTTTGTTTTTTGTTTTTGTTTGTTTTTGAGGAGCATGAGGCCTCTGCAAACCTTGGGGAAGTGGGTAGGGGTTTTCAGGTGAGTGCACATCATTGGCTGGGGCCCAGGAGCCAGAAATGCTTCATTTGCATGGAGAGAAATTCCAGGTACTAGGTTATGGGACTACTATTGCAAGGGTGGGAGTCCAGGGCTAAGAGTGCAGGGGCATGCAGGCACAGAACTGGGAGGGAGTGACCCTTACTCCTTCTGGTCTCAAGACTGAGATTGTGGGGGTTTGGACATGTCTCTACCTCACTCTGGCTGCATGCTGGTTTCCCTGATTGCACAGTCCATGTTCCCCACACTCGTATATATGCTCATGCCTATTGGTAGGAAACTATCATAGTAAATATTTCCAAATATTTTACTAGAAGAATTACTATCTTACCTATTCTTGAAACAAGGCAATGAGAAATCATATGTTTTGTGTGCAATACATAAATTACATATACACGTCTATGGATATAATCAAAGAGTTAATGAGTAAAAAGCTGACGTAAAATGCTCCATATTTTTAAACTTGGTGTTGTTATACATTGCTGTGTAAAAGCCCTTGTTTTTCTTCAATGCACTTTGCATCACGATTTAGTGTTGGCTTTTTCTCCTGAGACTAACTGAATTAATATATCTCTGCATAGATATTACTGATTTTTTTTTTTTTTTGTAGGAATAAAATGGTCTGGCCCAAATATCAACCTGGGAAATCACTGCTGCCAGGGCCAGGCTGCACAGAATGGGAGTACACATAATATTCAGGAGGGAATTGGATTCATTGCTACTTGCTTACCTAGCTCTTTTCTTCTAAGCCCTTCAGTACTCTAATCTAATGAATTATTGAAGCATTTACAAATGGAAAATTCCTACAGCCTATCAGAGCTGAAATGCTACCCTGATGTCTGGCAGATTTCACTCTATGCATGCCACAAGAGTCCTTCTGATTCTGCGCTTTAAATGACAGGCTTTCTGAGAGTCCTGAATCTTTCATGTTCATTCTTAGCCATTTCTAACCAACAAGACCTACTTTAAAGTCTTCATTTCTTAATCTGGCAGAAAAAAAAATTCCATTTTTGTTCAACTGTTAAATAGTGAAATTAAAAGCCAGAATCACTTTTCTGTGTGTGCATATATCATTATTTTTCTACAGAGTAGAATTTAATCTACATTTAAAAAGAGTTTCTAGTTCTTTCATTACTCTCTCTTTCTTCCCTCCACTCCTCTACCCACCCTTTACCCTTTAACTGTAAGGTAGAAAATCTTCCCTTGGAGATGTTTTTGTTTACATAGGATCTAATCTCCTTAGATCTCCTTCCTGAATTATAGGATCTCCCTTCTTAGATTAGCAACCAAAAGCTATTAAATCTTTGACTGATTTAAATCTTTAGAAGCCAAGGGAAGGGTTTACTCATTTCTAATCACTTGAATTAGTGTCAGTGTTTGGTGCTTCAGGCACCCTCCTAATTTTAGTACTATTTGCTTTTAGGGGGTTCAATAGCTATTTTGTGGAGATAAAAATAATGATTTCATATAGATCTTTGAAGGTGGAGTTTCCTTGTAGTTAGTTTTCTGATACCGTCAAGGTTTTCTCTTTTTCTTTCATTTTTCAACAGTTTGAAACAGCACAAACTCATACCTCTTTTATTGATATTTGTCATTTTTTATTAACAAATTTATTTCACTAAAACTGAAAAATTTGGTCATCATTTCTTCAATGTTTTCCACCCCATTCTCTTTATTCCATTAACATGTGGCAAATCTTCAAGGCTTTGTTCATTCTCTATGTGTTCATTTATTGTGACAGATTTTGATATATAGCCCAGGTTGAACTAGAACTCACTCAGTAGACTGGGCTGGCTTCAAAAATCACAGTCCTTCTGTTTCAGCCTCCTGAATATACTGGGGTTATAGCATTTACCACCATGCCTGGCACTTTGCACCCCCTTTCCCCCGCACTTGTAAAGATAAGGTGTCACTCCGTTGTTCATCTCTAGTGAGTTCTATTGCTTTACCTTCAACTGCACCTGCTCTTCTCCCATAATTCCATTACGGGATTGTCAAAAATCACCCACGGGGGGGGGGGAATCTTTATTTCTGAAATTACAATCTTGAGTTACAGGATACCCATTTGAATTTTTAAATTTTTCCCTTTGCTGAGATTTGACTCTTGAGATTTCCATCCATTGGAAATGTTTTCTTGTCCTTCATTGCTGATGGTTGTAATGGTCACATTAAAGTCTTGTCTGTTTCAACACAAGATTCTTAATCCACTGTGTCCTGGGTCACAAGTTCTATCTTGCCTGGTGCTTTTAATTTTGGAAGCCTTTTTAGTCTTGGTTAATATAGTGGCTTTTACCCCCTTGCTGCCTTTACTCCCTTTCTCTTCAGTCTGTCCTCATTACCCGGGGTGATTCTGTTAATACATACCAGAAACCTCCACTGCCTCCACACCCCACCTCTTTTAAACTCAGGGTAAATCCAAACTCGCTTGCTATGACCTACTCATCAGTCTTAAGGTTCCCATCTTTGGCTTTTAAGTCACAGGTTCATATTTGTTCTCAATACCCATTCAACATCTCATGTTTCTACTAATCTTGAAAGGTGAATTTGCTCTAAAACTAAGTTATTACTTTAAACTTCGACTGTAAGGCATTGGGCAGGTCCTTTTCCTGCACCCACGAGTTAAAGACCAGGATCTGAAGGCAAAGAGGACTTAAGAATCCTTCCTTTTTTGAGGAGAGAACACGGACTTAATGGGCTGAAGAACTTTAAACTTTATTAGTGCGCTTCCTCTACGACCTGCCCAGATTCGGTGGAAAGGGGTGGTGACGGGAACTCATCCGCGCAGGTGCCGGCTCCCCCCCGTGCCCCCCTCCCAGACCCCGTCAATGGGAGTGGCCAGACCAACTCTCCGCCTAGTGTGCGCGGCAGGAAGCGGAACTCTCGCGCGCTGGACTCGGCTTCTGGCCGGGCGGGCTTCGCGGCGCACCACGGTTCTCTGCGCGGGCGGCATGGAGGAGCGCGGCGGGTCCGAGCCCACCCCGGGCTGTAGCGGCCCTAGCCAGGGTCCCGTTCGCGGTGGCGACGGCGGCACCCACACGTGGGCTCCCGAGGACGCCTGGATAGGCACACACCCTAAGGTCAGGAGGCGCGAGGCCAGCAGGGCGCAGACAGGTCACCGCGCTCCCTCTCTGGTCCGCGTCTCAGCCTCGCGGTAGTTGGAGGAACCCGAGTGCGCGGCCGCCGGTGCTCACACAGTATCAATTTTGTTTGTTTATTTGAGTTATAGTGCGGACTAACACCAGTCCTATCACCCTGCCAAAGCCACGACAAATCCAGAGGCCGCTGATAAGCACTGCACTAGTAGCTGTTTTCCTAACTAGATAGTCCTGAGATGAACCGAGTCCATGGTTAACTGATCAGAAACAGCCGGCAGGCTACGACTGAGATCTAGGAGTCTGTAAATAATGTGTTTAGGCATAGTCACATGCCTTAGGCCCAAAGTGTGTGCATCTTGATTCTGTGTGGAAGCAGAGTCCGAGTTTTTTAGATTTCATAGAAAGCTTGGGTACTTGCACAGGGCAGAGAGCTGACATTGTATTTCCTGTACTGGCCTCACGGAAGAAAAGGATAGCCTTTTGCCTCTGCTTCGGAAAGTGGTGCCTTGTATCCACCCATAAAGCCACAAGCAGTCTGCTGATAATGAAGGCTGTATCTTGAGGGTACATTAATAAAATGGCAGCTTTCCCTTTTTGATAGTTATTAACTTGGATAAGCGTCTAAAAACAAACTAAAGGGAATATTTGCAATTACAAATCTGAAAAGACGAACTTTCCCCTCACTTTTTGAAGCTTGATGTTTCCTTACTCTTGCCCATCTTCTCCATAAACAATAGCTCGGAAATGTTACTAGTTTCTATAATAGCAGGGGTGGGACTTGGGGGAACAGAGAGACAGAGAAGACATGAACCTGGACTCCAGTTCAGACTTCCTGAGTTTGAAACTTGTTTCTCTTGATTACCAACTTTGATTTGCTTATACTTGATCTCATTGTGTCATTGTGCTTCAAATTTTTCGACTTATCTCAGTATATCACCAGTCTCTGTTTAAAAATAGGGAATAGTAGTACTTAACCTCATAGGGAAATTTTTATAAGGTATTTGACATATAAAAAGTACTATATAAGTATTAGTAACCTTTTAAAACTCCATCTGGGTATAGGTTGCCTTTAGACAGTTTTCTGACTTGCAGGGCTTTTTTTTTTTTTTCTCCCCGTAGAAGTTAATAGCTGTGTAGATCTACCACCAAAATTATGTCTGACCCAAAATCATGTCTCAGTACTGTTGTCAAACACTTTTTGGGCTTTGGGGCACCCAGAGCCTTTCTTTAGAAGCCACACTCACCACGCAGCCAGTGGGAGATGTTGACATCAGGTCTGCCCCAAGGCCCTGCAAATGTCTCATCCTGTGCATCGACTTTGTCTATACACCTGCCTCACTGTGTCTGGACACCCAGGGCTTTCCCGGCAGTAGTAGATTTCTGAGTTTTTCCTGTAACAGCCAGCGACCCTGGAAGAAGTAGTTCGCTTCTTTGAAACACTGTTAAATAACTCCCACTCAAGAGTGGGAGGGGTTAAGAATTTAGCATTTTTTTCTGTATGCAAATTAGATGCCAGAGCAATTGAGGTATTCCATAACAATCCAATGAAAATCTAAATTTCCTCTGCTCCTGGTGGATATGTTTCTTTCTAGACTCTTAAATAGGTATCTTATTCTTACTTTCCATGATCTCTCACTCTACTGTTACTCTTCTCCATACCCTAAAGTCCCGTAAGGCTTACTGTGCTTCCAGGAACATTCACCAGTCTATCCCTCTGACCTATTCTGTCACTGTTTTATAACATAGACTTTTTATAACTGTCATTTGCCTAACAGCTTTAAGTATAGCTAGTCCTCCATATATGGAGGATTTGCTAATTAATTTTGAATTGAAAACATTTGAAAAAAATTTTCCTCTACATTGTATACGTACAGACTTTTATTGTCATTATTCCTATACATTATATAGCACTTGGATTGTATTCTATAAGTAACCTATAGATGGTCTAAAGTATATGGTAAGATTGCACAGATTATATGCAAATATTCTTGCATTTTATATAAGGGACTTGAACATTCTTAGATTTTGTGATTCATAAGGGTGGTGTCTTAGATGCAGAAAGAGAGGCTGTATGGATATGTTTAACAATTGTAGGTTTTTTGTTTTAGGGACAGAGATAAAACCTTACATTCTTTTAACTTCTATTAACCCTGGAAGATAGTTTATGTACATATATGTATAATATATATGTGTACATTTAGTGGTTATTTGTTCAATAAAAGAAAATACTGAGCTATTTCATTTTCTCTTTAACAATTATGTTTTGATTTTCAGTACTTAGAAATGATGGAACTAGATATAGGAGATGCCACCCAAGTTTATATAGCATTCTTGGTTTACCTGGATCTCATGGAGAGTAAGTTGCTTATTTATATTGTTTTGTTACAGGGTTGTGGGGAGGTTGCAGAATTGTGTGTGTTATATATAGCATTGTCATATATAATAAGAAAACAGTTTTCAGTTACTATTTTGCCAGTTAATTTTACATTTCTGTATTCATTTACATTGGGAATTACTGGGTCGTGGAAAACATTAGAAGCAGAGAGAGGAGGTTATATTATTAGTGGCGTTGGCTCAGCTGAGTAATGGAAGTTTAGAATGCTTATCTTTTGTTTTCATTGAATGCATTTGCCCATCCTGATGCTCTTTTAGGTAAAAGTTGGCACGAAGTAAACTGTGTAGGGCTCCCAGAACTACAGCTCATCTGCCTCCTTGGCACTGAGATAGAAGGGGAAGGGCTACAGATGGTGGTGCCCATACCCATTTCTGCTTCAATCAGCCATAGCAAGTGAGTACTTTTATCTTCGTGCAGCAGATTCATTGTCTGTTAGACTGTTTGTGGGTTTGTTTGTTTTCACTTTTATAAGTTCTCTGCACGGTTTTGTCAATAACCTTCCATTGACAGTATTTTCCAGTTTTTAAGCCTACCCCTTACTGCTTTTAAGCTGTTTTAATGAGTAATGTCTTAATTTGAATATAATCATGTGTGCCATCCTGTCTTCTATAATCATCATCTTTGTTTCTGGCTTAAGATTTATTTCCTGCTTGAAATTCTAAGTAAAGGTCTGTTTTTAATTTTTAAAAGGTTACTAAGAAATTCAATGTTTAAAAAAAATGATACAGGAGGAAAAGGGCTTCCATTTTCATATGAATAACCACCTTTCGCCTTCATTTATAACAGTTAGTTCCATCATTTCCTCGTGTAGCACCTCTTATAATTCCCAGACTCCACACATGCAGTGAAACCATGTTGTGGTTTATTTTTATTTTTATTTTTTTTAGTTGGAAGATTATTGCTTTTATTTATTATTAGATTTGTTAAATTTGGTAGACAATATTTCTATCAGTTTCTTCTAGATTTTCTAATCTATTGGAATTTAGGTTTTCAAACAGGCCCTTACTGAACCTCTGAATTTTATTAGTATCTATCATAATATCATTCTTTCATCTCTAGATTTACTAATTCAGGCCTTCCCCATCTTTGTCTAATTTGATTAATTGTTTGTCTGTTTTATTTTTTTAAAGAATGAGCTCTTAATGTCATTGGTTCTTTGTATATTGTATATTATATCTTTTGTTTCTATTTCACTCACTGTGTATTTATTTTAGTATATGTCGGAGGTGCCAGATTAATATATCATCATGAAAGTAATATTCAAGTACCAAATGTTGACTTGGAAAAAAATTTTTTTTTTCTTTTTTCCTGTTTTGGTTATTATTGGGTAGGATTGAGGAAGAAGAAAAATTTCCCGTGTTCAAATACTTCATTGAATGTGTTTTGGAGACTGTGTCTGTATCCTTTATTACTAGGTAATGGAGTGCTAATGGAGTACAGACAAGCATTTAATCTGAGGACAGGAAAAGTCAACTGACAACATATTCAGGTCAAGCATCCTTTCTCAGCCTGTGTGTCACAACCCACATAGGAGTCACATATCAGATGTCCTGGATATTAGATATTTACATTATGATTCATACCACTAGCTAAGTGACAGTTACGAAGTAGCAACAAAATAATTTTATGGTTGGGGGTCACAACATGAGGAACTGTATTTAAGGGTCGCAGCACTAGGAAGGCTGAGAACTGCTGTGGTAGGGGAACTGCAAGTCACTGAGCAGCACTAGCACTGTCGGCCTAATGTGTCCAGTCAGAGTAGGTGCTTGGTAAGATTGCCTAAGAGAGGGAAGAGCCAAGTGAATGGCCAGGACTCAGGAGAGAGAAACAAGGCGGAAGGGTCTTCTAGTCGTGAAGGCCTTCACTGTTTTCGCTTTCCTGCAGTTGCGGATGTGTCTCTAATGAGCAGCCTTACAGGCAGCCCTTGTACTCAGGTTTGCGAGTTTTCCTGAGGCAGAAGCCTAGAGGCGGAGGACTGGGATGTACAGATTGGTACCCACCTGTTACTGCTGAGGTGTCTCTGAGGAGACTTGCTGTCAGTTTACACTTTAGCTGGCAATATAGGAGCAGAGATATGCTGTGTGTACCTGGCAAAGGCTAATTTAGGTTATAATAAATGGTTATTGTGGCTCTTACTGGCCTGCCACCCACCGGGAAGGCTGGGCTGGTGGGCCAGTGAGCTCCTGAGCCCTCCTGGCGTCTCTGCCTGACCAGTGCTGGGATCGCAGGCATGTGCTCTCATGCGTGTTCCTGTTGTTTTGTTTTTTTAGTGGGGATTTCGAGGATCAGACTTAGGCCCTCATGCTTGTGCACAAGCACTTGAGTGCCTAAGCTTTTCCTTCATTGAATTTTAAAAGGTCTTTTATTGTAAAATAAAATCAATACAGAAGACCTCATAGTTACAGATATGAGTTATTATAAAATACCCATTCCAACTCATATAACCATGAGCAAGGCCTTTTCAGGCCTCCACAGACCCCTTCCCAGTGTGTGGAATAGCTCTTTCCTTCTCACAGAAGCAGCCACCGTTCTTTCTTACAGTAACTGACCTACCAGTGCTGCTTTCCCCTTGGACTCCCACTCAAGAAGTGTTGGAATGTGAGTGAAAGACACTGACATGTCAACAAGAACACCCATGCTGTTTTAAGAATATCCTGCCTGGCCCTTATTGTTAGAAACAAATGATGTCACACACACGGAGCGCACGTGTTTCAAGCTGCTCTAAAGCTGCACTGGTAGCTCCTTAAGACTGCGCTTAATGCTGTGTCTAACACCACCATAGATAACATTTTATTAGTAGGGAAGTGGGAAGTACACTAAACCATAGAGCCAAAGGAACAAGTGGTCTGTTGGAGCGCAGTTTCATATACACCTACAGTGACAACTCTGGTGTACTTCAGAGTTTAGGAATCTGTAAAACTGGGCAGTGCTCTCACTAATTGTAGCTCATGTTGACTACAGTGCGGGTTACAGAATGTTCCCCTGGTGTAGACAAACAATCCTACTGGATCAGTTAGACCGTTTCAGTAGCTGCCTTGCTGTTTGAGTGTTGAGTGTCAAACCAGCAGATGTATTTCCATGGCTCAGTCTTTACTTTGCACTGTATTTTTGCTGATTTCTTAAAAAGTAACCGTTCTGCAGCTCTTAATACCAGGTCTTTATATCTGGGTACATTCCTCAGAATCTCTAGACTGTTTTTGCATCCATTTCCTACTTATTTTCACAGGTTTTGGACCTGGTGGCTTTGCTTTCACAGTTTCTGGCACTAGACAGATTCCATTATATTACTCAAATGTTCTCAAATGGCTGCAGGTTTATATAAGTATAGTTAAAATAGTGTGTCACATTTTTTAGTTTCAGAAGGTTGTGTGTGTATATCCTTCTGAAAATATTAGTTTAATTCTAATTACTGTTCTCTATTGGGAGGATAAAATTGGCAAAATGTTTCTAATTAGTAGGGATATGCTGATGTAGTATGAGTTGTCTATTTGCTGTTGTTTTTTTTTCCTTTCATTTAAAGTATTTTCTAGATAATTGTCTATGAAATTACAAATTAGCATGGTGTGTCCATATGGATGGTACCTCAGCTTTTGTTCTGCTGAAATGAATCTCAGGAATCTAAGGAGTCCATATAATACTTCGCTAAATGCCTATGGAGGCGAGTGCGTTTCCCCAGACAAAGCATTCCTATGAAGTAAGAGTCATAGATTTCTAGAGGTCACAGTGCTGATGGATTTAAAGATGAAGACTGTGGATATAGCTCAGTGGGTAAGAGTGCTTGCTATGCAAGCCTAAGTTCAAATCCCCAGCACCTACACAAAAAGCCAGATATGTATGCGCCTGTAATTCCAGTGTTGGGGTCAGAGATAGGCAGATCTTGAGAGCTTGCTGGCCAGACAGCCTAGCCAAAACAGTGAGGTTCTGTGAGGGAATCTACTCTAAAGGAATAAGGAAGAGAGAATAATTGAAGAAGACATTCCACATCCCTTCTGGCCCCTTCATGTGTACACCTATGCACCACACACATGCACATACGCACACAGTCAGATACACAGACAGGGAGCTAGACAACACACACACACACACACACACACACACACACACTAAAAAAGGTGAGACAACAGGGGAATTGCAAAAGTTCAAGGCCTATATTATGTTTTGCAATGCAGATTTTGAAAATGAGGTAAAATTTCTCTTTAGGTAGTGTCTCTGGATGAAAATTAAAACTAAGTGTTTTCCCATGATCAAATGTACTTACAGCTGTTAGAATACACATTCCTCCAAAGAAAAGCCACTCTGCTGTTGGTGTTTGTTGAGAATCACACTGAAGAGAGGACCGTAGTGTTTCCGGCATTTGGAATAGGGTTAGGACAGGTAATCGTAAAGGGGGACTATTTCGAGTACTTTACAGGAAGGCTCTGAATAAAAGAAGAGGGGGGAAAGGGGGCTTTCAATGTTTAACTAACAGTTTTTAGTTTCTTCCTGATAGAGCTCATATCCTTTTTCAGTTTCAATGGCAGATTAGTGTAGTGGTTCTCAGCCTGTGGGTTGTGACCCCTTGGGGGTCAAACTACTTTTTCACAGGGGTCACATATCAGATATCCTGCATACCAGATAATTTACATTACAGTTCATAATAGTGGCAATATTACAGTTATGAAGTAGCAATGAAAATAATTTAATGGTTGGGGTCACCACAACATGAGGAACTGTACTAAAAGGTAGCATGCTTAGGAAGGGTGAGAGCCACTGATTTAAGTGCCTTCAGTAAGATGGAGGGTGAAACGGGATTTATACCTGGCATAGCTAAGCCTTTCTGTAGTTAAATATGGCTAAAATAATCTGGGTAAAATTGATTTCTCATATGATTATAAAATTCACAAAGAATTATGGAGTGCTGTTTTCACATTCTATTAAGTCTCCTTTGTTGCAAAGATGGTGGTTATTTGTTCTTCCTAATAGCTATGCACGGCTGACTTTCAGACCTGCGAAAACTGTAACACTTTCTCAGTGTTACGGGGCAGTGGAAGTGAGGGTGCTGCCTCCCAGCTGCACAAATGGTAGAAGCATTCTCTGGGAGGGGCAAATTATTTCAGATGTCCTCTTTCTTGGCATGATTTCTTGTCACTCTGCAAATTAGGAAGCGGCTTCAACACTCCTGTCTGTCTTCCAGTTTACCTCTAGAAAGTGGAAAGCCTAAGACCTGTTGTCTTAGAGTAACGACACTCATTCGGCAAGATTCTTGTGTGATGAAAGAATATTGGAGCCACAGTTAGGATGCTTGTCTTGGTCTTCCTAATGCAGCTAATCTAGGCCTACCATCTCCTCTTTGCCACAGTGCTCTGAGGGATGTGTCTCCTTCTTCCTACGCTGAATTAAGGATATTGTAGTTC